CTGCCTCTTCAATGGGYGAGTTGTTGGACTACCTGCTGCCATACAGAGATCACGCTCTTGGTCCCTGCTTAGAAGAACTCGAGAGTATTTTGCTCTGGTTCCGTTCTAATGAAAATTAACACTTCAGTATTTGCCTCARTAATAATGAATGTATGTGAATACAGTTTCTGAAAATGAACGACTTTGAATTTCTAATTACATAAGTTTACATTTATAACTTCCATTTAGTATCTTCCTGAAGTGTCACGGTGTTCAATACTATATAAACAAAGGCTCATGAAAGTGTAAGCATTACACTTGCGCCCACAAAGCAATCCTTGCACTGCGGCGCAGCGAGACGCAGGGCAGCGCGCAAGCAAGTGCTGCCTCCRCCAGCAGAGCCTTTGGCTGGTATTTCCACCCAAGGCATCCTGATCTTTCTAGTAGTGTCAATAGAATCACATTGCTGCTTGAGTCAGCATTTTCTGAGAGCTATTTGGCAGCTCACACCATTCATCCTCTGCACTTAGATCCAGCTCTCTTTACAGTGCTTAATAAACAGGTTTAAAGTCATATACAAATACAGGAAAGAATTGTTTTGATTAATATAGTTTGTAATAAATTGCTGTATCTATTTTAAAGCTTTTTTTATTTTTTTTTTTTTTAATGCATCTAATTCTTTTCTTGTGACATGTGAGACCTTAGCAACAACAAATGCTTTGTTCTGCTTGGTGCCAATAGCTCAATGGTTTAATTAACGGGGAGATTTCMCAGTAATTCAGTTAAACCAATGTGYAGATAGACAAGCTTAAAAAGTAGTTGTGCTGTGCTATTCATTATTGCATGAGCGCTTGTAATCCACTTCAGTGCAAAGTCAGCTGGGTTAAACTGAATCACCTATGCAGGCAGTTTAACCATTTTGACATTACAACAAAACAGTTTAATAACAGTAATAAACAGCAGAATAATAACAGCAGAAATAAGAACAGCTGGAGCATTAATAAAGTTATGGCATTTCAGCTGAGATGGATAATGGAAAACACTGGACAGGAACTATTACAGCTGTTTCCAAGTAGCCAGCTGCCTGGGCCTCGAGGCCATTTTATGTATGGCTACTCTTAAGTTAATGTAACAGGGCTCAGTTAAGTAATTATAGAAATAAATTGATAATATSGAAAGCTAATGTACTAAAAGTAATACAAATGTGCGCTGGTTTAATAGAAAAAAAGAAAAGGGGCAATTTTACAATTTTCTCTGAAGTGGTAGAACAGCTGTGCATATTGCAGTTCTATGCTATTTTCATGGCAGGAAAGCTCTATTAAGGGGCTAAAAGGAAACGCTTCTCTTTCTTYTTGAAACACATGGTAAAGAATGTAGAGGAGCTCTTACCACTACATTAGTCTCCAAAACAGTAAGTAAAGCTTATGGCAATGCATTGGTTTCTTCAATGACAGGAGCTCGTGGAGTTAATTCAACTACCCAAGGCCAGCAGTCCTCTGCCCCTATTTTTGTTGCTATTTTATGTATTTTGACTACAACATTTTCAAAATGATTTTAGCCTGTCTTCTGAAAACACACTTGTAATTTCACCTCTGATTTTTTGTATGTGTGGTGATTGTGAACTGCGATTGCCCACATGCATAGGCAGGGCAGACAGCTACCTCACGCACCGACACAACTGGCCTTCGTACGCAAATCTCCTTGCATGTGGAAACTAAAGAAAGCAATGTGTACAATTTTAGCAGCTCATTTCCTAGAGCAATTTTGCTGAACTATCCTGCTACTACAACATCTGGAGAGCATTCACTTGCCAGCACCGAGATTGTTCCCTGCCTTAGCTTTTCTGGAACGCAGTGATCCCGAGCGCCTCRCAGAGCTCCCCGTTCCAGATGCCACACTTGAGAAGGAGCCTCAGGAGAGTTGTGCAMGTCCACTGAGGGCAGTCGCCCTGGAACCAAGCCCTGCCACAGGAGCTGCAGCCCTGCAGAGGTGAAGAACACCTTGGTCGTTCTGCCAGCCTGCGGTTACGTCTGCTGGCACAGACCTGCGCTCCTCAGGGACGGACACAACTTTGCATGTTTTTTACATGTGGTACCATCTGGGGGGGATTAAAGTAGGAGGCCTACAGGCAGCTTTAGAAATGCAACAGTGTACCTGTCCTAGAGGGGGAGAGTTGCCACTGGATCATATTATGTGGAGAGAGAGAAAAAAAGAAAAAAAAGTAGATTAYTTCATAAATCTGAACGCAACCCCCCCACACTCGCAGTACTGCTGGAGTCTGCTGCACAGCTGCTGTACAAGAATAGATTTAAATGCTGTTCCATTTCACTCAGTATACAAGAAATTGTATTACATATCACTGCTTATTAAGATATTTAGTGGAAACATTTATATGACATGTACAGACCCCTGAGTTCATTAGAAAATATCCCCTCCACAAATCTACATATGCAATTCTGACAAGGTTTCTGTTACATCTCCAAATGCTTGACAGTGACATTATGGTGATTAATTGCAACATTACCTTGACTGTATCTTTTCAAAACTAATACTATCCAACAGATGTTAAAGTACAAATAGGAAAAAAAAAGATGTTGAGGAAATCAAATGTTTTTCAATAGGAAAGCTTGAAAAAGATGGAGAACTTATCAGTTTAGAACTTTATGTTTTCTAGTACTACAAAAAAGCAGCCCATCTGAAACCGCTGAATTCCACACAAGCACAAGAATCCAGCACGTGTTTAAAATGTTATCATTATCCCCAAGCGCCTATTACATTTATAYTGTATGAAAAGGGGAAAAAAGTCAAAATTTGAAAAAATGAAAAGGGCTATTCTGTAACTCCAGTTATTACAATAAATCTTACTAGAAACAGAGCTGTCCTTTCAGATGTGTGAAAGGAGAAATTCCTTTTACCTTTAGGCAAAGATTTCAGAAGATTGCAAACACAAAGGGAAAATGCAGGGAACTTTCACGTCATACTTTCAGCCCTTTCTACTTGTGATTGATAACACAGATTCACAGAATATTTAAGGTTGGAAGGGACCTCTACAGATCATCTAGTCCAACCTTCCTGCTCAAGCAGGCACACCTASMGCATGTGGCACAGGGTGGCATCCAGGCGGGTTTTGAAGACCTCCAGAGTAGGAGACTCCACAACCTCCCTGGGCAGCCTGTTCCACTGCTCTGTCACCCTAACAGTAAAGAAGTTGCTCCTCACCTGGAGACGGAACTTCTTRTGCTTCAGCTTGTGGCCATTACCCCTCGTCCTATCGCTGGCCACCAGTGAAAAAAGCCTGTCCCCTTCCTCCCTGCATTCTCCCTTCCTGAACTTATACATATTAATCATATCCCCTCTGAGCCGTCTCTTCTCCAGAGAAAACAGGCCCAGCTCACTCAGCCTCTCTTCATACGAGAGATGTTCCATTCCCTTAATCATCCTGGTTGCCCTTCTCTGGACCCTCTCCAGAATAAATGCAATGGAAAGTACAATAAAAAGTGAAAAATAATTGCAGTGCAATAGGTTAATGATCTGACTGCTATTAATTCTTTTGGCATTTACAGAGTAGGGATTTTTTATAATTAAAAGTTGTTACATCATCTATTAAAAACCACTTCTGAAATGAACAATTTCAGAATATTTGATGAGTAAAATTACTAAAGAATAGGAAGGATCTAACCATCTACAACAAGCTCTGCTTATTACAGCAGCAGCATTAATATGTACTATTTATGTCTAGAGATTCTTTCTGTAGCATCTAAAGCATATTGTGAGAATACACAACTCCACAAGGACACTGTTTCACACTTGTGCAAGAAAACAGTAACTCCACTTATTTAAGAACAACTATTAGGTTTACATACAATTTACAAAATGAAACAACATTTGTGAGGAGCCCAAAAGGGAGTATTCCATGCCTCCATTTAAACTTTTGATGTGTAGGAATTGGGTACCTTGCTCAAAAGCTGAAATAATGAAACACCGAGATCGTCTATAGAGACAGGACAGACACACAGTGACCCACAGATATTCAATGCTGAGTGAAAAGCTGCCCAGATCATTAGGCAACACTAAGGGGAGACGGTTCCTGTTATGMGGAAGGTGAATAATTTCAGATGGAGCATCAATAGCTTGGGAGTCATTTGAAATGTACAGTYGGGAGTCTTTCTGGATAAGAGGCATCTAACTGACCATGGGGCAGTATTTGTAAAGCCTCTCACAGAGGCCCTCACTCTGCAGGGACTCAAACATAAGTCTTGCTTAAGCTTCTGAAAAAATACAGCTTAGCAACCTTTTCTCACTTTTACCCGTGACACATAATTCACATCCCTATTCTCTGTTTGAATATGGACCACTGAGGTTGATAAAATGTGGACCAGCGGAGGAGCTAGAGATATTTTCAAGTGAATTGTTCTGCTTTAAGRGACAAGGAAACAGGGTGAACAATCAGAATTATATGGCTGTGCTTGAGTAAGTAAAGAAAAACTTTGTCTCTATGGATGAGGCCTTGTTGACAGCCAGAGCAAAAGCAACCCCGTTATGTTGTTAGTTGTTAAAGCCACGTGGCTTGTTTTCCCTTGGTAATTATACATGGCTGTTTGGGTTTGTTTTCTTCTTTTTGAACTGTACAGTCCAACTTCTGCTATAAATAACTACTGGAAAATATCAGTGTAACATCTACCAGATAGAAAACACAGTGCTAAACCTGTCTGATAAAAATGAGAATTTAAATCCTCTATAGTTCRTAGATGATCCTGCCCTAGGAAATACTGTGTCCCAACATATCATAGTCCTACACTGGCCTTGTACTGCATTTTTCATTACTGTTTTCAGCTATTCCAGCAACTAGCTTAGAATAAATAGCAATTGTAAAGAAACAGCAAAACACTTCAGTCAGACATCACCTTTGGTTTTCACTTCTGATTAGTGTTCTACAGCGTGACATATTTCTTAACACATAGCATAAAAATTAAAACAATATAAAAAAAAAAATCCAAAAATATCCAATTGAGTTAACTTACCTTTGGCTTCCTGCTTAATCCAGAATTCTTTCAAATTTTGAATAACATTTTTCTCCTCTCTCAATTGTTTCTGCCACTGACGGAGGAGTTTTACCTCAGGATTACGGCGGACCTGGGAAAGAAAAATAGAAAATATATCTCAAACTATATATGCATATGGATCCCAGGAAGGTAAGACATTTTTTATTTCTGTAGGGCTGTAACTGTGGAAAACATATGACATCCATCATTTTCACAGGCCAGATGTAAAAGCACAATCCCAGAGGTTTACAGTTTTCTACTGACCTAAWAATAAACCCCATGTAATTGACAAACCCACTGAAAACATAAATACGCCAATTATCAGATCATTCTGATTACCAAGGACTCCTGAGAATGTGACTTGAGTGAGATGTTTATTGAGTAAATTAACATTTAAGCATTTTACTGATGGTGCTAGCGCCTTTAGAAAACCACAACACTATAAAACTAACCCATTGACCAACAATAATAGAGCATGAGAGGCGCATGAAGGGTCATACAGCAGAAAATTTATTCCAGCAAATGAATTCACACCTGCTACCAGCTGCAAATAGGCTTAGTGACAACCCCAGCCATACAAATTTAACAAGCAGGGGAGTCATTAATCCATTATTTAAAGTATCTGGAATGGACTACATGATACGTATTCTTTGCCAGTCATCCATACGAAGGACTTAAATCTGCTTCCATAGAGCACAATGACAAAAGGCACAGGCCTCGCCTTCATTTAAGATTCAAGTTATATTCTTCTGTTACTCCTTTAGAGCTGTAGATTCTTGCGGCATGGATTCTACTTACCTGAGTAAGAGTTAGTTTTGCATCAACTGCTTTTACTGCTCTGCTACTTAAACTTGCTCAGCGCAGGCCTTGATTAAACAGCAGTTAAGTATACTTGCCAGGTGTCCTCACTGGCACAATTCCCACAATTTCTATACCAGTGCTAGGAAAAATACAGAATAGATGCAGTCCCTCCAATAGAAGGGACAAGAGGATATACTATTTATTAGATTAGACATAGATRTTACATATAAAAAAATGCCCTTATGCTTTAGGACTTAATGTCTCTGTATTCTGGCTAAAACGGAATAACAAATGGTAGAAACCAGTAGAAATACTCTTGTTTTTTTTCTAGGATACATTTTTGCTTTCAGACAGTCAACTACTTAGAAAACTTCTTAGATTTATTTTATCCTTATATGATATAGTAATGAGTTTGCTAGGTTATTTGAACTCTATTCCATTACCTCCGAGTTTTCTCCTGCTTTCCTGGGATACATAGAGAGCAAGACTTGATGTTCTCACTGGTTATAAATTATTTAGCCAAAGTATTCTTTTTAGAATACTCTTGTTAGCAGAAGAGCAGAAATACAATGCAAGGTTTTACAATCAATACAAACAGGCAAGACTCTTGCTTGGTGACTTGACCTCAGATACCTCCTAGGCCTCTTGGAATATCCCATATATTTGTTCTGATGACCAAATTCAGTAATATCTTCCATTAAAAATGCATAATAATCTTAGAAATTTAATATAAAATCTTAAATGCAAAAAGAAGATTACTCTTATTAGCAAATTTCTTTTATCTAGAAAAAAATTAATATTTGATGGATTTTTTTAAAAGGGTTTTATTTCCAAACATAGTATATAATCTCAAATACTGGGGAGTTTAGATTTGCACAAAACATTTCATCTCTTCTATACCATGTGAACTCTTTGATTAGCAAATTTACAGAATATACTTTATTATTAATGTGAATAATTCCCACTTAAGCTTAGCGTTCATTTAATTTACAAGAAGAAATAATAGTAAAATGTTACTAATTATTTTGATTCTATATTCTAATTTCAATTAATTTTCTTTAAAACCCAACTTCCCCCAGATCTACTAAGCTGAAACATTATAGTTGGATTAACTTTCAAGACGTCCTACATTTCATAGCTACATTTTCCTCTCTGTTTTGGGACGTGGTTTAGAATTACAAATACCATGGTAAAAATCTTAACATTAATATAGCAAGGAAAGATAGTGACCTTCAGAACTTTTGCTAGAAGCACAAGGTATCTGAGCAACCTTGCAGTGTTCAGCTAAAATAACAGTTATTGGATAATGGCTGCCTTTGTAATACTCTGTGAGGATGCCTGCAGTGATACTGTCCATGCTAATTAATGTTACTGTCAATGCCACTGCTTGTTAAAAGAAGTATCAAAGAAAACGAACAAACAGAAAGTGTCACAAAAATCCATCAGTCAAGGAGATCATTTCAGAGTATTTCACTGTATTTGTCAGCATGGTAGATTATAAAAGCCACTCTCCTATAATCTTGCTTGTTAAAAGCAGGAAAAAACCTTAACAGAAAGTGTTGTATACTGACTTATTTACAAAATATCTGGTACTTACAGACACAACTTCCAGGAGGAAAGCTCAAGCTGTAAACTGGAATCACACATAAAATACCCTTTCAAATGCTACAGATCAATTTCTGTACTTGCAAATATCTGTATTTAGGTTTTTATTAACACGATAGAAACCTACAGTTGTTGGCAAAGCTGCACAAAGGCGACTAGGACGTGCAGACTGAAGRGCCCACCGCAGTCTGCTCTCTTCCCTGCCCAGCTGCTGTGCTCCACCTGGCCTGTTCTACACCATGTGAATGAGGACAGTCATCCACTGATTCCCACACCAATACCACTCCTCTTCAGTGCAGCCACTGTAAGAGCGTCTAAAGACACATAACAAGAGGCTTTGTGTTTGAACGAAGCTGTCAAAGGTAAGGGAAGCTTGGACATTTCATGTGTTTCTGAGTCAAATACAAAACAAAACAGTACTGAAATAAAAGACTGAGAATGCACACAGAGGAAGGAATGGAATTAAGGTTATATAATCTACTGACTCCTGCTTCTGCTTCCTTTCTCATCCTTCCTTCCTTGCTTATGCTGTTTCTCCAATGCTTTTCCCCCTCTCCAGTCAACCTTTTCCTGTCACCCATAGTTGTTTCAGTGCTTGTCTTATCTGCATTCAAATCAGGGATTTTCCTGGGCTCAGCAAGGATGTCACTAAGAGTAATTCAAACATCAGCTCTCTGCTTTACTATCAGATGACCAGATCTGGTCCTGGTGGAATTTTAGAGTTAAAATTACAAGGAAAGGTCTGCTCAGGCTCTCAGCTGCAGCCTGAAACATGTCTAGAAAAGGTAGATTCTTCAGATAATCTGTGCTAAATACTAAGAAGTCTCTTGAAATCACACGAGAAGTACGAATTTTCAAAAGCTGGGCTTGCCACAGCCAAATTTATGATGTGTTTTGGTCTAGGCCGTTACTAACACTCCTTTGTCAACAAAGCCACCCAAATCTCAAGTGTCTTTAATTTCCAAGCATTAAAGCATTTCAAAGAAAGGTTTGCCCGAATCTATTCAGTAAGGCCAAAATTAAGTATTTCTTACCCTAAACTTAGCACTGCCATCACTCTCTATAGCAATATCAGCTAGTTTTCTTCAGTTACTTTATGTGCCTTAACCTTCCACATAAAACGGGCTATTATGTTCCTTTTGCATTACTTGTATAGTATGGCTTGGAATATCTGCTTACCATTCTGCTTTCCCTGAATAACAGCCTTGTTCCTCTCCTACACCTCCTGTCACATTCTTTGTCCCATTTTTTCTCCCTTGTTTTCTACGCTTCTATTTCTAACTGACCTCACCAAGCCTTGTGTGTTTGTGCACATATCCCTGCATGAAACAAAAAATAGTTCATGCTTTACTAGGTAGTCAAAGATCAACTCAAACACATGAAAGCTGTTCAGTGTTAATTGTAACTTTGAAAATCAAATTTGTGCAGGTTTTCTGTTGCTCAGGAAAACAAGAAGATTACATCAGCATAAATGCATGTGAAAAAAACAGTCACTAGGCATCCTATGCATAGGAGCATCCAAAGCCAATGAACCGTGGGGGGCTCTAGTTATTTATAGTACCTTCTACTTAAAATTTATGGAAGGATTTCCCCTAAGGCCTTCACAGTCTTACAGATTCAACATCAAGCAAAATAATTATAGATTACTCTTACCAGATAACCTCTCCAGAATGACTGAATTATTCTGCTCGCTTCTTTTCTAGATAGAAGGAGAGACAGGGGAAGTGGTGGCCTAGGACTAAAAACAAAATTTTTTGTAAACATACTTTAAAATTACTTTATTCCTTAACAGCATATCTTATCAAAAAAGAGAAAGGCTGTTTGTGACTTTGTAAGATACAATTTCTCATTGCTCCAAGATAAAAATGTGCAACAAATAGCTCCCTTAAAATACATCCTGTACTATACTACAGTACAAACTTTTTTTCCTTAAAACAATAATACAACCTATCAGGGGCAGTAACAGCCCCAGTAATTGGCAGATTCACAAATCCCAAAATAGTGACCGTTTTATCAAAACTAGGGCCACATGCAGCRTCTGCTGGAACATTCTTTATACCATTTATACTACAGAGACACATGYATCAGAATGTTAAAAGAAATACAAGGTATGTATCCAGTCTTGTGGTTAGTGACTATAACATTACTTCTGCCATTTCTTTTGGAAAAATTTTACAGTAAACTGGGGCTCAGGCTAGAAGCCTTGGCAACTTACTTCTYCCTTTTGCTTAGTATTTTTCCTATTTGCCTTTGCCTCCTAAGCTTCCTATGCCCTGAGCCCTTTCTCTTAGGGCTTTTCTTCACTGATAGAATGTTTCAGCTTAAAGCACAACCTGAGCTGTTACTTAATACTGTACCAACTACATCATTTGAGTTGGTATACTCAGCTAAATTGGTCTCATCATCACGTCAGTTAGGTTTTAGCCTACATTGATTTTATGTGAAAGAAAATCTCTGGAAGAATAGAAATACAGCAATAATAAAAAGCGGCCTCTCCATTAAGCTAAACAGCTACAGCTCTGTGAACATTAATTGGCATTCCTACTGCTTGAGGGAAATCATAACTGCTGGACAAGCAAGGCTTCCCAAGCAAGCTGCTTTTTATAATCTCACTTAGAACTAAAAAGATGGACAGGTTTTGCTGACAGACCCACAACCTCTACTCTGTTTTTGATCTTTCTGAAAACCAAAACTTCATGTGGGAAAATGAGAGAAATAGACCTATATATTTTACAGCAGCTYTACCAAAGGTGCGGGCTTTTCTCTTTGAAAGAACACTAGTCTCTRAAGAATAGAAATTGCTTCTAGTATGCAAAGCTACTCTGTTATTTAAAAAAGAATGCAAAGGAATGGCAGTGCTGTGTAGTTTATAAGCCAACACTAAACTGGAGAACGCAATACAAAAATCGAGAAAGCCAAACAGGACTTAATTTTCAGCTCAGCAGACACAAGGAAATATCAATCATATCAGCAGGGCAGCTTTAAAGAACAAAAGTCATGCCAGGTCCCTTTCTGTCTAAGGGAATATACGCAGTTGGCTTCGGGTCAAATAAAAATAGAAGCTGAGCAGAGGCAACCACCCATCAACAGTGAGGTAGGGGAGGAATATGTCATTTGTGGCAGAAGACAGCTGTATCACTCAAAAAAGATTAAAACTGACAGTAAAATGTATAGTAACTACATTCTGCTTASCTAGTCTTTGATTAGAGATAATCTTATAAGCCCACACATTAATGATTTTGATATTTATTTTGATAGAGATATGGGATATACTGTGCAACTTAAGTTGCACCTGTAAGATCGCATCAATAGAAAAAAAAAAAATCAGGATTCTTGCACTTTACCAAATGTGAATAAAGTAGACACCAACCAGAGGAAAGTTTATTTTCAAGAAATATTTTCTTCCTTTCTGAACAATCAAGCTTATACAGATTCTGATTATGTGAGATAATTACATAACATTATGCAAATGGAATATGGCACCCAGAAGATATAAACCACACTTGCATTAAGTAAATGTACGGGGTATTGAAAGAGGCTCCCACTCTAGATATGAATAACCAATTTCCTCTTAAACTGGAGCTGGGTTTCTCGATGAACTTTATATACTCAAGGAGGGAAGAAAAAAGTATATTTTTCTTTCTTGTCAGAAAAAGAGAAAAGCCAACATGCAGAGGTTTATAATCACCGATGGACAGTGTACACAGTATTTTTATCACAGGAATCACCAGAAGCCTCAATTGTYAGTGAGCTCCCAATCTATGATAAAAATGTAAAGTTTGACTCCTTCCTTTAAAGGTTTACTGAATATAACAAAGATAATATATGGAAAAAATTAATCAAAGTTTTCACTATATATCATCTAGGATATGTCATTGCTGGTTTTAATCAGCTCCATTTCCTCGTGGTCTCCACTCTTGCAGCTAACCAGCCTTCTTGCCGCTACCTGTCYGCGGGATCAGGGCACCAGTCACACGCACCGGTAAGAGGCTGGTGTGCAGGGACCRGCACAACACCCAGGTACGGCGTTGGAGCCGCCGCCGGAGCACACGGCCAAAGCCCTACATCCTTCATTTGATTGTGTTGGCTCCTGTTCTTGTATATTTATATCATGGAAAACCACAAAGACTTTGAATGCATCTGAGAAACACAAGAACATCAACAAAGACCAAGTTGATGCAGAATTCAGAAAACGAAAGAAAAAAGGAACAGACAAATGACTGGGGACAAATATAGGACACACAAGGAAGTGAACATGGTGTTCTGCATGATTTTTAAAAAGAGTTTGATAAAGTCTGGGATTCTGAAAGTACTTCCAAGATGCAGATGTTGGTCTGAATAATAAAAAATTGCTCTGCAAATTTGAGACTTTTTATTTCCACTGTTCTTATTTTCAAGAATATTACAATAGTACCCCCTCCTTTTTACAATTAAGTCTTTCTTCTTACACATCTTTTCAGCCACGCAAACTGTGCAACAACAAACCTCAAATAAATAATGGAAAAAAAGGAAAAACATAAAGCAAACGAAATGTACACTGAGGTTGGGTTTCAAGGTTGCTTTAGAGACAGCCTAGTGAAATACAGCAGTGTACAGAGAGTAATCTGCAGCAACTGGRCACATTAAGGGAAGAAAGAGATCAGCCACCCATGCTAAATTACCCCTATTGGCCATCTGAGAACTGACAATGAAATCAACTGTAAAGGCAGCTGAGACCAGCAGACGCTGCCTAATTAGAATATTGTGGGGGCAGAAGGGGAAAAAATCCACGTGAGTGTGTGCCTATAAACATATTTTGGCAAGCCCTTCTTCGTATTTAGTGAACATTTACAGGCATATATATATATGCTATCTGTCTATATCTATAGAGACATATATATCTGCTATATTAAAGGTATGATAAATCTATTTACTCCCTACCTGCACATTTGTTTTGAAACTTGCCAACAAATAACCCAGGAAATGGGCCTTATGAACTGAGGATGAAGAGATACCTCTATACAGGAGAAGGAGGAAAGGCAATTTTTTTTCAAATTAATTCTTACAATTGAAAATTTATTTATAAAAGCACCTTGAGTTCTTGCAGCCTCTCTAAAATATGCATATAAAGACTAGTCTTCAGCAGAGGCAAAACACATGCCTCCTCCAATCCCAGACCTATATGCTCTTCTCTTTCATTGAACCTAAGGGTGRAAGCTGAACTTGAACAAGACAATATTATTAATGTGACAGTAAACTTTTATGATGCCAATATTGTGCAGAGCAGTGAAATTTTCTTTTACTGTGTTCATGCTKTTTTAATTAAAGATTTCAAGAAGGTTGGGAAAACATACTCGGGTCACCCAGAATCAAGCTAGGCCTTTTTTAAAAAAAGCAAAACTTAAGAGGTTCAGGGCACAACACAGGCAAGCCTTTCCTTCTCCCCAATTCCACACAAACAGCTTGGTTACTTGTGACTGAGCTCCACTGCTATTCAACCAGGTTCAGGGCACAACACAGGCAAGCCTTTCCTTCTCCCCAATTCCACACAAACAGCTTGGTTACTTGTGACTGAGCTCCACTGCTATTCAACCAGAAAAAAAAAAAAAAAAAAAAAAAAAACCACTGGGAAATGATGACAAAAGGCAACTGTGTTGCTCATTTGCATATTTACAGGAGGAGAACAAAACAGTCAGGCTTTAATTCTGTTTAGTTTGCTTGAATAAATGAGTTGTCTTGAATGTAGGAACAGGGACAAGTGTAAATATCTAAGTAAATTTTGTTCAAAGACTTGTGTTAGTTGCTTATTAAAGCCCCAGTTTTCTCTCATCTGAAAGGTACGGTTATTCTCCAGGACAATAAATATTCTGTGTGCTCCTCCAAATGAAACGGAGGTTGCCAGTCAGTGCTGAGGCTATTCCTTCTATTTCTTCTGAAATCTGCTTTAGGAATCAAGTATTCCCAAAGGATATAATATTTGTCAGTGTTATTGCTAGCACGCTCCACACCTACTTCATCTACAGAAGCCAGCTTCAAATTACAGCTAGGCTGTTTGCATTTAAAGTTCTGCAAACAGATGCACCATTTGAGCTTCCTTCCGAAGAAAAGTAGGCTGCAAGATCTCATTTAGAAACATTATACTGAAAGTAAGGCTCATAAGACTGTGGCTTTGACTATTTTTTAAAAAAAAAAAAAAAAAAAAAAAATCACTTCAGCTTCAAAGGAAAAACTGGAGGCACTGGAAAACAGCCAAAAAAAGTCATATTCAAGTATGCACTATATTAAAATAAGCCAGATCTCTGTTAGATGAAGCAAAAATAATTATCCCTGTGATTTTTTTCTAGTAAATATGAACATTGTTTTGTACTAATAAGCTCYTGTTTAATACAAGATAATGATGCATTCGTATTTAACAAACCTTTCTGAATCTTTTACAAATTTAGGCATGCAACTGAAAAAGCAAAACAATTTATTCCTTACAAATTTGTAGGAACATCTTCTGCTTCTTTACCATGCTTGCACCATCTAAATATTTAGAAGGGAGTTTCACATCCAAATTTGACCAGTGCTAAGTATATTGTTTCTTACATATTGATAAATCCTCATCAAAAACTGAAAACTGCATTACAAAAATAAAAGGAGAAACTACAAAAAGAAATACTGTATCAAGTAACTTTTAAATCTCATGTCCACAAGGACATAATAATAACAACCTCTTTTTTATCTATAATATTGGAGATACTTCACTTCGCTCTAATAGCAAGTATCACTCCTAAAGAAAACATTAAGAAATCTGTAATTCAAAATATATTTAGAAAAAGATGCTTTTTCATTCAGGGTTTTAAGGATCTAGATCTAAATCTAGAGAATTTAAGATCAAGTAAGTATCAATTTAAATAGGCCTTTGACACTTCAGTGTCCTTGTGGAGCTGTCACTATGATATTTAGGAGCACAAGTCCTAACAGAAGCTATGAGTCATGCAGGCTGCGAYTCCACAGTGTATTTCTCTTGTTGGCAAAGCTGACTCAAGCAGTTCCTGCCACCACCTCTGTGTCTTACTGCCTCATTTGTTCTCTTCACCTTGCCCCTAGCTCTTCATTTTAATCCAYTGTTTATGCCAGTACAAAGGCTTATGAGACTCTCAGGTGAACCAGATCAAAGAATTGTAGTAATATTATCAACATTTATGCAAASTCTCACTTCTATTTTTGAGAAGCTGTTTTCAATTCAGAGGATTCAGAGGTCCCTGATTAGAAGAGCCAAGTAAACAGTGTGACCACCATTCAGGTCAGTTTTGCTTCTGAGAGAAATGTCTATAAAACCACAGCCTTAGTTATTTATCTTAGGTACTCCRTCCTCACAGTTCAGCGGTATCTAAGCCAGCTTACTATTCAGTGGTTCTTTAGCTATGAAATTCTGTGTAACAGTCTCACTCCATTTCACAATCCAAAGTGTTATTTCCGAACTACAAAATCCAGGACCGTGAGACAAGCCCCAGCAGACTAGATAGCAAAACTCTTAGCTGTGAGGCGTCCCCCATCAGGGGTATATTTGGCAGCTGGACAGTGGGATGCAGCAATAGGTTCCCAAAACAAGTCACTCTCCAGAGATGTCCTTCTCAATACAGATACATCTCACACAACTCTGATCAGATGACTACCATTCAGATCGCCAAAGCTGGACTAGATAAATCCCAGCTGTCCATGCCTTCTCACCAATTTGTCACYAAAGGCCTGTGAATGCCAACGCTCTTTCCTCCAGCAGAGGCAGCAACTCAAAATTCTATGCATCTTCTAAAGGATTTTCTCTAAAATTTCACAGGACAAGAGATCTGAAAAGCTCAATCCTCATTTAGACYGCAAAATGAAGTGAACATATATACGAAGATATTTGTCTCTGACTACYAGGCTATCAGAATACCCCGCACCCTAAAGAAAAGGAAGTTTAATTATACTTAATTAACAGTTCCATTAATGATCCTGGTACAAAACACTTTGCAACTAATGCACTATCAAGTTAGAAAGCATCACATAGTTAATTATTTGTTGCACGAAGTAAAGGGCATTTAGAGGGAACAATTAAAATGCATTTAAGCTCTATTAGTGCTTTGGAATAACCAGGGGAGAGGAACACAAGCAGAAAAGGTTACTCCGAATAGTGTGATAACTTACTGCTCCTTTAGCCAGTCGCTAACAAAAGGAATGGAAGAGAATGCTGTGAATGACTCATCCTTCCTCTTCGGGTTCTTGCTGATTTAAAAAACAAAACCAAAAACCTCAAATTAATCTAAACTGGAGCATTTCTGTTTGTAAATTAATGTCTTGGAATCATCAGACATAATTAATTGTAATGACAATGATTAACTTACTTGTATAGCCACTCAGTTAGGAAATCACAGGCAATAAATTTGGTTCTTTTTCTCTAAAACAGAAAAGAGTTTGAAATTGTTTATTATCTTTGGATTGGTCACATATTTTTACAGGTGGAGAGGAAGAAAAGCTAAACTGATTGTTTTTATTAAATACACAGTACATTATTCTGYGTACTTTAATATTAATATGGCCAACAGTCAAGGCCTCAGCCAAAATTTAGAAATTGCTCTTGTGGAAATGCTTCCCAGGCAGATTTAAAAAGGAGTGATTTTTTTAAACACATTTTGATATTTAAATCAATATTTAAAGATCAAATATAAATACATAAACATATCTAATATGTAAAATTACATATAATATATAAAATTGGTATTTAAAATGATATTTGCTATGGTATACCTATAACACATCTCTCTGAAGGCTATTCTTCCTACATTGCAATCTCTCCTCAAAGAAATTAACAGGACTGGTGCATAAAAACACATTGCATATTATTTCCCACTCTGTTCACTCTTTTATTATTACACAAACTATTTTGTTGTTTCCAAAGCAGTTAAGACAAATGGAAGGAATAATGGGKTTTTTTTTTGTGCTGGGAATACTCAGGCACCCATGTAACAGTACTGCCTGGCTGCTCAGTCAAAATTATCTGCTGGGGAGTTCGGAGCAGAGGACACAAAGAAAGCTTCTGTATATCCCCAGCCACACACACGACAGGCAGCCAAGAAATCAGGCAAAAGGACCAGAGCCTGGAGCTTTGGATCAAAGTTGTGCCTTTTGCTCCTAATTCCAAGACTTCATCACTACCAAAGGCAGTTTCGGAAAACGCTTTGCAGAGACTTATCCTTAGTGACTCATGCAGGCAGGACCTGCTTAGCTTGACTGTTCTGCAYTCTGTAAAATAAGTTTTGGGGTCAAAATTCAAGGCATAAATGTTGATCATCACAAAATTGACTGGTGTCTTCCTTCTCCTAGAGGTTTTCTTTTTGTGCTCCATCCTTACAGATGAGCTGTAAAGAGTGCAAATTCTTAACTTGCTTATTCACAAAACAGTAATCGTGACATGTGAAGCACAATCTCGAGGACTGGCTGGAAGGAGGAGAGGTTGGCTAGGATCTTTAGGSCCCCCTCACACACTACACGTGTTGCATGTGCACACAGTCAGAGAATATGTACTGAAAGACATTTATTCCGTTTCACAGAATAAATTCTATGCTTTGACAGTAAAACTCAATTTAGTCTAGCAGTTGTAACTTACTCTCTTTTAAATAAATTGCTCTTTCCTTTGCAAGGACTGGGGGGAAACAGCAAAACTRTGCTATCAAACAGTTATCACTGAAGGAAGTATTGTGAACTTAGTTTATCCCTATTACATCCAGGCAATTTATCAGAAAATAATTCACTCCCTCTACTTCACTCCACTTCCCTTTACAGAAGGGGAAAAAATGACATTAATTGACCTGTCTTTAGCACATCCTTCCAGTGCTACACAAATCAGGACAAACACAGGAAATATCTACACAATGTGCATTATTGACCTACAGATGTGTTTACAAAGTATTTATGCTCAGACTTCATTTCAGATTTTTCGTCTTCTTTATGATACACTTGATAATAACATGCAAAAAATACTGGTCATCAGAAGGCTGCAGAAGTCATTAGGGAGAACTATTTAATTCACTTTCCATTATCTAATATACTTTTCAAAATATTTCATCAGTCTTCTACAGCAACCTCTTTCTGTGATCATTAACAAGAAAGAAAAAGTGGAGTTATGGTAATAAACAGGTTTAAACATTGTTGAGATTTAAGTCTGAAAAAAAAAAAAGAATTAATGCATTAGTCAATTTTCACGCAGAAGATTTAAGTAAAGAGTCTTTCCCCTTGAGACACTTAACAACAGATAGGATAAAGCACAGGAAACATAGTATGAAAAATTACTTCAGAAAGGGAATAGACTGGGAGACCTACTAGGTTTCTTTCATTTCTAAATTAGAAATGAAGCTTCTGTAGATTGTTCCCATATTTATGTCAGTCTGAAGTCTGAAAATATATCTAGCAGATGGTTGTTTTTAAGGCTTTTGCATTTCAGATTCTTCAAATGCACTACATAATGCAAAAGAGATTGTTTAAAAATTAACTGCTTATGYTCCTATAGTTCTAGTTCTGTATCACTTTTCAGGTAAGATCTTGCAGATATCTTTCCTTCACAAATAACTACAAACAGCATAACCTTTCCCCTTTCTTGATTTTCCCTTGTCATTCCACAAATCTTCCTTCCTAGACATGAATGCATCTTCTCTGCTCTCCTTGTTTTCCTCTGTTGCTCCTGTCTCCTGATTTTCTTTACCCCAATTTCAATTTATAATTGGCACATATCTTTTCATTTTCTTCTCATTCTTTTTTATTTCCCTTCAAAGCACAAAAATTGGCCCCTCTCCTCTTATCCAGAATCCAACCTTCATTCTCCACTTGTTCMTTCCTTCTCCCAGGCTCAGGGAATAGTGATTGCAATCACTTTTGCTGTTCCAAYCACTTTTGCTGCTTTACTTTCAGGGTCTCTTCAACCTCCCACTGGTTTAGTCTGTCGGAACTGTCCTGGACAGGCTTTAATAACTAGAATCTAACCAAAATTCAAACTCGGTGTTCTGTTCTCATTCTTCATTATTTCAATGACCTTAATGACAATTCATCCTTTACTTGTTCTCTAATAAATTCCATGAATTTCTTCTTTTAACCCTTCAATGTTTCAATGTGTCCATCCAAAGAATTTCCCTGTCCCTAACTTTATCCAGCTTTTCCAAGGGCTCTGTGCTTGACCAGATAAGCATTTTAATGCAAATAGGATCATGATCTTTTCTTCTAATCCATACAGAACAATACATTTCTTATGAACAAAAGTATAATTTGAGTTTATATATTTAAGTCAAATAAGGAAATGGAACATCCAAGTATTAAGCACCTGGACATCAACGGAAAATATCACAAATATTCACGTCTGRTATGAAGAGCTATTGTTTTACTACTTATTATTCAGAAAAAAAAAAGAGGAAGAAGTATGTCAGAGTGGAAAAGAATCATCTGACATAAGATGGCTTTTCTAAACTTAACTTCCTAGCAGCCTGGCATTTCTCCCCTTCAAAGCAAAAATCATTTAGAGTCTTTTTTGATAAGAGGTGTCTTTTGTATGAAGTTATGAMTATTGGTAAGAAGTGTGTAAACTACTCATTTGATTTTTATTAATTTATTATAAAACAACATATACCAATCCATATACAAAATTATTTTCAGAATAAACACTTCCTAAAGATCTACAAGGCACTGAATCTTTGAATTAAAAAAAAAAAAAACCCCACAACTCTCAAACTCAGACTAAAAGTAAACATAGTAAGCTCAGATTTGTGCTGAGTTTGAAAATGAAGTTTTTCTAAGAAATCTCATATTTTTGTATTAAGTACTGCTTTATTGCCTCTTATTCTTTAGAATTATGTAAGACCTATYAAGGAATGTATTTTAGAACAACTTTAAGACAGGCCTTTTTTCTATTGAGGAGATGTGTTTCCTTGGAAAAAACAAAATCAATATAAATTTCTTTAAAAGTCTGATGAATAATATATACGYCCAATCCATTCTTGGTTAGGTCACATAAATGTGGTGATAGGAATGATGTACAGAGCTGTCATTCTCTAATGTCATGTAGATTAACCACTTGCCTATTTCACAGTATTAATCACAGATTATAACTAATAAAATCTATAAATCCATAAACCAATCAGCTTATAGACACATCCATCTTTGCCAAGTTTTAGCAAGGTTCTTAGTAATCTACTGTTATCAGAAATGTGGATCTGAATTTGAAAGCTGCGTTTAGGACATCCACTCAAGCACAGAAAGCGGTGTGTGTTTTTGGCTGTGCCCAGGCGGGTGCAGCACACAGACAAACAGCACACGTGTATTTCATGAACTGTTTCATGGTGCCCGTTACCACATGCACACAGGTCTGCACTCAGATGGCACACTAAAGTAGGTCACTGTCAAGAGCCGAACTGGAGGTAGATCAAGATATGAATAATAATCTACTGTCACGTTAAATTATTCTTACCTAATGAGTAAGAAGCCCACGAGCCCAGACTGCATTCCTCAGATATGCAGCCCATGTACCAAAATTATTACTATTTATATTAATTGCTATTTATATTACAATGCTGTAAGTATGATGTGGCTCAGATGCAGGCATAAAGACATAGAGAAATTTCACATYGAGAAGTGCTGAACACAAAAATAAGAAATAAAAGAAAAATTACCTCCATGGTTGGAGAAAAGAGCAGAAATCATAGAAGAACCCACAATCCCCATGGCTAATCTGTTATCTGATGAGACAATGAGCTTTCTTTTGAACCAGTTCTACCGTATTTTTAAACTTTCCAACATACAATGAGGAGTCTCYTTCTACGTATGTTTATGTACACACACAAATATAAATATATACGTAGCAAACGTTACATTTGCTTTAAATGACTTAAAAGTACTGTCTTTATAAGGTTCATTATGCTAAAGACTTTACCTTCCACTTAAATGCAATTTTACACAGCATTTTAAAACACTAAAATGAGAAAAAAAATAAAAATAAAATTAGGATGCCAGACCAGGTTAAATAATTGAGTAAGGAATATTGTGCTAAGTAAAACTCAACCTCTCTGCTTCATTCTCTTTGAAGGAACAATGTGCAATAACCTGAAAGGAATATTGGTTCTTGAAACATGGTTTAGTCTAGATACAACTGCATTTTTTTTTTTAAAAAAAACAACCTTCAAGACTGACTTGTTTTAAAACAACACAGGATATGTTATTTTATATTATTGTGGTTGGCTTTCTTGTGGAAGGCCAAATACTGAAATATAGCCTGTGAAATAAAAGGCTGTAATTTCCTGCCCATGTTTTGAATTGAGAACTAAGAACTAACCTCAAAACACTTCTCCTTCTTTGCCTGATGAAGAAGTTCAGCCATTCCAGGTAGAAGTATTGGAAATATGTAATACTCTAAGTATTCTTGAGGAGAACCTGGATAAAATAACACAGATTTCACTTAAAATTAAGCACTCGGATTTCACAGAAAGGCAAATATCAAAAAACAGAAACCAAGTATGTTACCAGGACCATTTTGGCTTGAACCAGGAACAGATTCTTTCAATTTAGATAGAATCTGTCTTCATTTTTCTTCAGCCAAGAAGACATAAATTTGATAAACTAAAGGTACATGAGCAGCTAAAGTTACATCAACACTACAAGCTCCATTGTGCCTCAGAGATGTCAGGCTTAGCTTTAAATTAGCTAACTCAGACATCAGAGGCAGTTTAGCTACAGAAGTGAGAAGCAATGTGGACTAATTTACCCTGACAGGAAGCAAAGTAAATTAGCCTGCACTGAATTCTTGTACTGTTACAGCTAAACCACTTTTGGTGTCTAAATTCATGTCCTTTACATACTACAGCAAAACTGAATTTCCAGATGGAGGAAAAAACACAAAGACTGTATTTCAGTGATTTCCTTCTCATAAGCATGTTCTATTTGTCTGTTCCTCAGGGGCTGTATCATAAACCCAATTTCACTATCTTGGCAGAGATGTCCGAGTTGGCACCTCTCTCTTTTATGACTGACTACTRCCCCTACGCTCATGTCTACTTGCCAGAGTGTGCTAACACACAGCGCTGCGTTCCGCACAGAACAAAGCAGCTGCAGGCACCTCCACCAAAGCCCAGCAGTGACACTGCTAGTGCTGTGTACCTAGCCTAGTGCTCAGCACATATCTGATAGGGGACTCAAGTTCATCCTTCCCAGCTTCCCTTCACATCTTCATCTTCCCTAACAAGGCCTTTCAATACAAACTTAAAAACTAGGTTTTTAAGTGTAGGATCCTTCTATTGCTTTTGTTGAAGGGWTCATACACAGAGAAACTCAAATTTACTAAGCCAGAGAGACAGGATCAGAGGGAGCAAGACACCGATGAAGCCACAAGAGTACTTCCCTCAAAACAGAGCTCGTTAGTTTGGGAGGAGTGGGGAACAACTACAGACATATCCAATTTGTATCTCTGGAAACATGCCACACTGCAACACATCAGCCTCCAAGTTAGGTCCCTCCTAGCTCAGGAGTCTCAACATCATAGTCTACAGACTTGCTATACCTTTGAAAATCTTAAAAGACTAACAGAAAACCAGATCTTAGACAAAAAAGGATGGTTTCTTAGCTGAAATGCTGTTCTCGGTTTGAAGTCAGACTGCCGATCGCTGTAGCAAGCATGCAGGTTTTGGTGCAGTCAGTAAAGACTAAATTACAAAAGGTTTCTCTTCTGGCAGAACACCACTGCAACACCGAATTTATCATTTGTTTCATACCTTTAGTTGGTTTATGCACTGCCAGAAAATGTTCACAATTGGAAGAGAGCTATAGATATAAAAGCTGGGGGTAACATTCCTTCTAACAACAGGAATTCCTAATAAGTAAGAATGAATGGCAGAGAAGAAAATAAACACAGATTGAGAAGTGATGGGAAAAAAAAAAAAGAGGAATAAAGGACAATAGGAAGGCTGAAAGATATATTGTTACTTGGTGAATTTCACAGAGACTGATAAAAAAAGAATTTTAGAGGCTGTTTCCATTCTAATTTGTGATCAGATAGAAAAAGATAAAGTTTTCAAAGTAGTTTTCAGGCTCAATTATATATTTAGTCTATTGATCTTAGTTTAGTGTTATTAAATTAGAGGGAAAAAATGCTTGTCCTCTGATCTAAGTAGCTAAATAAAAAGTCACTTATAAGAAAACAAAATTATCTTAACTGCAAGACAGTAATACTGGTTTCTAATCTGTGTACCATCTCATTTGAKTTTTTTTCTATTGACAAAGGGGCCAAGCCCTGTCTAAGGAACTAGGGGACTAATCATGCAAAAGCCAGTAYGGAAAAGTGTTGCAGCTGTTACTACTATAAATTCAACAATGGACAACTCCTTGTCAAACGCAAGAAAATAATCACAGAAGGGCTCAAGATCTTACACACATGTTTTTGGATCAGGTGGCTCTGAAGAGGTTGTCGCCTTGCATTTGGAAAGCGACTGCTGGCCAACAGCATTAGCTGCAGAGGTCGTGTAGAGTTGTTCCATACCTAACAACTGCAATAAAAATAAAGTGTCTACAGTATGCCCAGTTTAAATGAAAGTCATCTTTGTATCTGACATCCAAAAGAACTGACTTCTCTACTCACAGAATTGCTTGGGACAAAGTGGTTTTGTCCCCAGGAAAAATCATAGTTTACCTTTCTTAAAAGGTTATATGTATGCCTTCTATCAAAAAGAAAAAGCTTTTCTAGAATTGTTTCATTTGGTCAAAATTAGAAGTAAAATTAATTTGAGCAAGTATAACACTGCTGATTTMGGGAGACACACTTAAGTATTATCCGCCACACTGTGACATTGGGGCACAGCTCCCTTGCTCCACTTGCACCCCTCTCTCCTGCACATTTTAGTGCACAACTGTTCGCAACACGGCAGCAAAGATACTTGCATACTTCAGTCTCACAGCAGAAAGACAGTGAAATGCACATACCAAACACAGCTGGTAAGCTATTTTAGGATGGTATTGCCCACATTGCTTTAATTGAAGACAATAATTTGAGGAATATTRTATTTGTTGACTGACAAAAGTTGTTTGCAACACGTAGTTTTGTTCTCATTTAACGTTATGAATGAGTCTATTCCACTGACACCTAATTTTCCCATTTAGTTACTAAAAAAATCTTTTAAAATCAGCCATGTGAAGATTATTTTGCTTGAACTATACTCACAGATTCTTCCTCTGATTCATATAAATCATCTGGAAGTGTAGGTTGTTCTGCTTCATACTCTGCAAGTAAAAAGAAGCACAACATTTATCCAAAAGACATAATAACAAGTATTTCATTTTCCTTCTGCACAAATATCACTTTCTAAAGCTACTTATTCTGTTTTGAAACAACAAAAATACCACTATATGCCAAATATTTAGCACAGGCTCTAATGTGTCAGAGCACATGTGAAGTTTAAAGACACTTGTCTTGACATTAAATCAAGTTCAAGATTCTCAATGTTAAATGGAACTCTTTATTGAGGAGGTTTTTATTTAAAAATCACATAAAAAATAATGCAAGTAAATGACGTGGAATTAGTCATTCTTTTTTCCTAGTATATAATAGTGTTTTTCAACTTGGAATGCACTATGAGCAATGAAATCCCCAGGACACTGCTAAGTATTGCTGTCTCCACTTTCAAAGAAGAAGAAATGAAAAGGCAGAAGTGGGACATGACCCACACAGATTACTGCAAGAATCAGGGTTAAAAAAAAAAAAAAATTAAAACAGATTGAAAACTTAAGAAAATGGGGTCCCATTAGAAGCAGAATAGCACTTTATGGGAAGAGCTGATGCAAATTTCTGGATTTCTATAAATAATATCATTTATCTCCCCATATTAATGGATTCTTAAAGAAGGACCATGAATCCRATGTAAAAAATAGACAATGCACACGAGGGAAGATTCTTGTAGACAAATCAAGCAGGTTTACCATTCTACCAATATAACTAACAGATTTACTGGTACTGCTCCCACATGCAAGTATAGGTGTCTCTGTTAGGTCAAATCAGAATAAGCAACTTTGCTCCTACAGTAAAAATTGCCATTTTTATGGGAAYACATACATATTACAGCACCTTATGAACTATAAAATAGAAAAAAAAAAAAAAACCATCTTTTAGGCCTCAGAGCTGCCAGGGCCAGAGCCCAGTTTCCCAGCCCAGCTGGGAAAGCTTGTTAACTTGGCATTAATTAAACCTGACTGATAATATCGATAACGCAGTAGCCCCTCTGCATTCCCAGAGCAGCCTGGTGTTCCCTCGCTATAGGAAACCTGCGCTGGATTCACTCTGGAACAGGTTCCTGCACCGCTGGGCACACGCTAAAGCCTGGACTTATTGCCCTGCCACACAGACCTSGTTCTCCCAGGACTCGAGGACTAGGCACAGTAACGCCATGCTGCAGAGCCCGGGAGCAGTAACTCTAAAGCCCTCCCTGAGGCAGCTGCTGCCGCCATCTCGTTTGCCCACGTGAAGGGCATGAGGCTCGCCCGGTCCGAGGTTTCAACCAGTCCGAGCCGGTTCCAGCCGGTCTGAGCCGGTCCAAACCGACCGAGTGCGGTTGCGCCACGCCTGTGGCGGCCGCTAGAGGCGCCCCCTAGAGGCGCCCGACTCCCGCGCGAGCTGTTGCGGTGGGTGGCAGTGRGTGGCGATGAGGCGCGGGCCGCGCTCCCACCTGCGCACACGCGTTCCCACAGGCTCGACGGGCGCCGCGCAGCCGCCATGGCGCCCGCGTCGCCACGGCAACGGCCGCGGCGCGAGGGGCGGGAAGGAGGAGGGGCGGCGCCGGCGCGCTCCCGCTCCCGGCTCGTTCCGTCCTGGCCCGTTCCCGTTCCGGGTCGCGGGGCGGAGCTGCCGCACGTGGCCGCGGCAGGTAAGCGGCGGCGCCCGCAGCCCTCCAGGCAGCTCCTTCCCCTCGGCCCTCGCCCGCCGCGCCCCGGAGCCGCCCTCGCGCCTGGCGGCGGTGGCGCCTGCGGCGGCCGTGCCGACCCTCCCCGCCCCGCAGCGGGGCGCCCGGGGGCCTGCGGCTTGCCCGGAGACCCCCGGCAGCGGCCCCGACCCCGCCGGCCCCGTTAGCGCGTTTGGCGGGGCGCCTGGCGGGACCGCGGGGGATCAGCGGGGCTGGACGACAGGGAAGGAGCCGGGAAGGAGCAGGGCAGCGGGAGCGCGGCCCGGAGCGGGTGGCGAGGGGCAGGAGCAGCCGCGAGGAGCAAAGGAAGGGCCGTGACGGGGCATCTTGTACTGCTGGGCACCCGGGTCATGCGATGAAGGAAGCACCCTGTAAATAAAGGCAGGGTGGTTCACACACGTAAATCAAACAAAACCCCTCACCACCACTTYAACTGTAGATGTCAATGGGTGTATATATGTATTTATACATATATGCCATCATGTAGGAAAATGCTTTGAGTACATCTGTGAAAATGTCATGCTTGTCCAAAGACCAGTAAAAAATTAGGAATGGCCAAGAAAGAACAAGATAAAAAAATCACCAGCTCCCCAGTCTCGTGGGTTGTGTTTTTAGTGCTGCCTACGGCCCTGGTGGGTTCCCCACAGAAAGCGCGTTTTGAAGTTGGAGAAGGACTGTTGGAATTGGGGGAACGGGACAGGGTCGGAACACAGGTCGATCCAGTAAACCAGGGCCTCCTGCTGCTGCCCAGGCTCTGCACTAACATGTTTGTTGTGGTTCTTTTTTTCAGAATGATAATAAAGAAAAGGGGAAAAGAAGTTCACGAGGAAACTGCCCAGAAAAAGGTGAAAAGCAGTGGGAGACAGATTGTCCTTAAAATTGAACAAGATGATCAGAGTGTCGTTAAAACTGAGGATGATAACTGGTTTGAGACAAAGGTAGAAACAAAAGCAAATAAAAAGAAAAGTTTAAGAGAGGATGAATGTTTAGACCAATTAAAACTGAAGAAGAAGAAAAACAAAAAAAAGAATGCCTGCTCGGAGTTACAGGAAGAAGCACATCCTCAAAGCTTGGTGAATGTAGAAAGCCATCTGGATTTAGAACCACAAGAAACTAAGGAACAAATTAAAATCGTCAAAAAGAAGAAGAAAAAAGACCAACATCAGTCCTCCTTACCATCAGAGAATAATCAGAGTAGTGATGTAGATGATCATCATGCAGGTGGCACTCAGGAAAATGAATTTGCTTTCAAGAAAAGCAGAAAGAACATTGCTTTGAATTTGGAATGGGATGGTGAAGTAACTAAGAAAAAAAAGAAAGGCATTTGTTCTGTAGCATTAGAGGACTACCAGGACAGTGAACAAAAACAATCAAAAAAAGATCTTAAAAAACACAAAAACATGTCACAAGAAATAGATGTCACTCGCAAAAGCAGTGGAACAGATACTGCCCAAAATGATGAGGAGAGTTATGTGAGGAGAAAGAAGAAAAAGAAGAAAAAAGATAAGCCAGTCTCGTCTTCACCAGTGACCTGTCCTCAGGACRACATCCATGGAGTTCATGATAGCCACATTGCACTAAGTGACTTCAAAAAAAGGAAAAGAAAGAATTCCCAGGAGTTTGCATTCACAAACAAAGAGGAAGAGGATAACACTCAAAGACCTGGAAGCTTTAGAGACACAATGAAGAAGAAGAAGAAATGCAAAGATGCTTCCTCTTTAATACCTGAAGATAATCAGGTCTATGGTGCTAGAGTTCCTGATGAGCATCTTCCTGCCCAGCAAGAAGTTGAGCCTGGAGAAGAGGAGCTTTCTGGGAAAAAGTGCAGGAAGAATATCAAGGGCAGTAATGATGAAACCAAGAGGAAAAAGAAAAAGAAGATTCAAAAAGAAGAGGAAGAAACAATTGATTCAAAATTCGTTGATGACAAAACATCTAAAAGAGATAGATTAACGCTACCAGAAAGCAATGAAAAGAACAAGGAGAGTGAAGCCAAACTAGTTAAATGCATTACAGGGGATGCTGTAGAAAGGGTACTGTGTAATTACAATCCTCTGCTCTCTGACAAAAATACTAAAAAAAGAAAAAAAACACAAAAGGATTCTGCTGAAGAACCAGGTTCAAAACCAAATACAAAAAAGAAAAAGATGAAAAGAGAAAGCCCGGAAAATGAGGCCTKGGTAAGTAGAAAAAAAGGCTAACTATGCACCCCTCTGGAAGAAGTAAAACTATTTAGATAGATGGTTTCCTATTCTGTGAATGTTTTGCCTGCTCAGAGCTGTAGGTTGCGTTTGGATCAGCAGAGTGGTGGGGTCCCCTCGGCTGTGAGAAACAGCCTGCAGGATCTGACTGCTGATTTCAGTGTACAGCAATGATGAAAGACAGGACAGTGCTTTGCACAGCCTACTGCTGTGCTCATCTAGTGTTTCAGTTGCAAAAATATAAAATGCATAAATGGTGTATTATAACTACTAGCAGGAATTGGCACAAAACCAAAATTGGTATCTACATTCATAAATCCTTTCCTGTTTGCCCTGCAGTTGCTTTTATCCAAGTGAGTGGCAGTGCTCTTACAGAGCAGGATTTTAATACCTTGTCACCTACTCTGAGCAGTGCACAGGATGTGGGTATCATGAGTCCATTTGACCAGGTGTGGCAGACTCTTCCTCAAGATTTTGCTGATGCTGGAGCTCCATAGTGTTAGAAACAGGGAAATGTCATCAAAACATACTGCCCAACTTGGACAAAATGCGAGAGAAAATCCCAAGTAGAAGGCGTAAAACACTGACATATAAACTCTGATGGAAACATATTACAGAACACCCTAAGTGAAAATTCAAAGGCATTTTTTTAAARACAAAAAAATGTGTGCAAGGCAAAAACAAATATATTTGAGAGTAGCATAAGCTAAAACTGAAAGGAACTGCATCCAGACTGATTGACTGTTACAGAAAATACCATCCAGGTGTCTTAAGAGTGTTGACATTTCTGTACTGAAATATGCATAGAGAGGAGTTGGTTGAAAACAAGGAAAACAGTAATGCTTCTTGGAAGTTTTCTTTTTTTAAAAAAAAAAGTACTGGTTTTCTGCTTTCCAATTTTTGGAAAATTAGACTACTAAGATGTGTTTGTTTATTTCACACTTCCTCTTGCTTCTTCTCTGGTAGTCTTTAGTGTCACATTTTAAAGTGAAGCCTAGCCTGTGTCGGTGTTATTGATTGTCTGCGTAGCCGGTATTGATGTCCTTGGGAATTGAGCTCTGAGACACACAGAAATTCAGGGGGCATCTATTCTAGCTTTAGGTATTTAAACACCTTTCAGAAAGAAAGCTGGTTACAGGCCATTAGGAGCTTGACTTTATTTGCATGGGTGATGAGAACCTGAGCTCCAACCAGTGTTGATAGAGAGTGGTGAATGCTTTGTGTCTTGAAACATGAAACAGGCATGAGATAATAAACCATCATTGAAGATTTTGGTAAGCTGGGGCAGTGGAACTTGCTGCCTCGTTTGCACCGGCTAGCCCTGAGCTCCGCAGTGTGAAGAGGTAAAACCAGCATCCTTCCTGGAAAAGGTGCTGGTGTGCAGGTTAGCACCTGATCTACTGGATATGTGGAAAGCGTAAAGAATCCTGTCCTCCTCCTCCCTCCCCCTCAAATCAGTGTCTTACATTCTAGCTGAGGGCCTGGTTCACTGGACGTGCTTTAACATTTAAATGACCTCAGAGCCTTTGAAATGTTTGCTAAATCTGTTGGCACTTCATAGTGTATGCTCTGCTTTGCTATGCAGTCACTCGTGTGGTTTCTTCATAATCTTCATGTTCTCTAGAGACGTGTAAACTTTCTGGAGTCCTGTACTAACAATGAAATACAGATTTCAGTCTATAAACAGGTTCTTCAGCTTTCTTGGAGACATACAAATGGACTTCTTTACAAAGATTTTTGTTGGGAGTGTGCATGCTTATCATTAGCTAAGCAGATGGTTGGGCTTTTTACTAAGGTTTTTCTTTTCCTCCTTTTAAAGAACAAGGTGCTTTCACTGCTGGGGTGTAATTTCTAATTAAGTTGACATCGCCTTGCTGGGACTGTTAGACATTTGGATTCTTGCAGCTGCTCCCATGTGTGTGGAGGCAAGATAAGCCTCAGCACGACAAGTACAATTGCACGATGGTGGGGACCAATTACAATGGGAAGCAGCAAGTGCCTTGCAAACAGCCGAGGARAAGGGGGTTGGGTGATGTTGTTTCTCTTCTCCATACTCTGCTTCATACATAAATAATAAAAACTACTTCAGAGGAATTCTCAAGATTTAAAGTCTGGGTAATCGGTTCTGAAGAAAGCTAGTTCTTGCTAAGCCAAATGACATTACTAGAATAAATTGCTGATAATGTCAGTCTTGCATTTATTTGTGTCACAGTCCTGACACATTTTCCAGGCTACAGCGGTTGCCTGGTGTCGTAAGTATCRCTGCTTTCCTTGAAAAAGCCTCTCCTGGGTTTCTGCAGCAGACAAGCTAGTGAGTTTCCATAGACAACGTGGCCTGATGCTCACTTAATAGTGATTCACATTTCTCCTGTTGAATGTCCTAACTCATAAGGATAAGGCGCAGATTGAAATAATCTCAGTGTGGCAAAAAGATGGCTAATGAAAACATGCAAAATAATGCCTTTGAGCTTGTTTTATGGGGGTGTAGAGGAATTTGTGGGAAGAATGAACATACCTGAGAACTGATTGCCCTGACGGTGAATTTGTTAGGTGTGAAAAGTCTTACTGCAGGAAGACTATGTAGTCAACCTTGATTTGTAGGGATGTTCTAGTTCGTTTGTTAAGATGTGAACGTACAGCTGACAGTGACAGAAGGTTTCCTAATAATCAGCTGAGCCGTTGCTAGTAGAATTCRCTCATTTTGGTGGTCCTGCTGCAGCCCCTTCAGCGCGCGCAGCAGCCTSTGTGGGCTGCTCTTCACTTGCCTGTTTGTGTGCAGCCAGCGAAGTTCTGCCGCGCACTCGTGTTCTCCCCGAAGTGCAGGGGAGGGCGAGGGCGGCTCCCCGCCGCGAGGCTTCATCCTGCTAATTCTTGGTGCTCAGTCATCTTCAGAAGGCCAAAAACATGCTGAGAATCAGCAAGGATGGGGGTGCACATGTCCTCTCTGCTAGTCTGCCACCTACCCTGCAAGCTAAATAAAAAAACAAAAACCAAAAAAAAAGCCACTCTTGCAGCTGCTCGCTAAATCCTGTCACAACAGTTTTCCACTTGTTTTAAGAGATCTGAATAGACAGTACTAGGTCATCTAGAAGTAAACTGGGTATTTCTTTTTTTGGTTAAGAGAATGAGCTCTCCTTATGGTAGACAAATATTTTTCTCTTAATTTTAGATGGCAGATGTACTTGTGTATATATAAAATCAATGAACACAATACAGCTTTGAAAAATACGTTAAATCAGTAATGGCTTTCCTTAAAGGAAACTGTAAACTGTCAAAAAAATAAACAAGCTTACAATAAAATAATAAATAATAAATTAAAAAAAAAGCTTCTGCTGTTTTTCTGTACGTAACAAACCTCTTCCTTGGCCCAGCCTTCCTGGCCTATCTCATGCTCGGGTTGCTGCGCTAGCTGCGTCAATACATCTTCCCGTTGGCCACCTTTTCCAGGCTGCTTGAAAGCTTATGGCTGTATAATTTACCACTGTCCTGCACTTGCAGGTTATCCTGATAGACCAGATGCCCCCAAACCTTATCGTTATCACAGATTTGGGGAAGGGTGGAGAGCAGTGAGCAGGAAGCAGCCGGGGGAGCGGAAGGGCCCGAGTGCTGYGTCCCGTGGAGCTGTCAGTAACCTGGAGCTGTCAGTAACGGCTCCTCTCCGACTTTGCCACTGATTCCCTGCCCAGCACCCCGCTTCCATTCCTGCCCTACCTGCTCCGCTCCCAGCAGCATCTTCCCGCTCCTCCTCTCGAGCGTGGTGCTCGCGCTGCTTGCTGCCATTGCAGGGGACGCTGGATGTGACAGACCTCCCGTTGCTGTTTCTCTCTGCAGACTGGCAGCTGCTTGGGCACCATCCCCTGCACTGCAGCCCAGAGCACAGGGCAGCTGCCATTGCTCGTTCTGCTTGGGCAGGAAGGGGCCAGCAGGACCCACGTACTTCATCAAGTTCATTCTGAGCACTCAGAGGGGCCATTACCTTATTACCCATGTAAAACTTAAATTTTACAAAGCTGTTTAATTTGAAATGACCTTGCTTGCAGAGTTGATTCTGGTGATGTTGGCAGTTCCTTTTTAGCATATAGATTAAAAAAGTCCCTTAGGCTTTTTATCAAAAAAAGATGACCCTTGCCAAGATTTCTGTGGTGCAAACCTTCGGTGGATCTCTCTCTCTCAGAGCAAAAAAATCTCTGCAAAGAAATGCACGGGTTTAGCAGGCGCTTCTGCTTTTGATTTGATTTGTTTCTTCTTGTCCCGAAGTACTAAATGATGTTGCCTGGTGTTTGTGCTTAGGGACATACCTATGTATGACAGAATGGCTCATAATATTTATATAAGTTTTTCCTTTTTTACAGGTACATATGGATGATGTAACTATCGTGCAGGAAAAAAAAGGAAACTGTGATGAAATTAATATAGACAAGGTATGCTTTGACTCAATTATATAAAACGTAAAGCAATTCAGCATCTAAGGCATGCACAGAGTTTGTAACAAGAAAAAGTTATGCTGTCTTGTTCGTCTGTGCCAAAACTGCTTTGGGGACATCTCTCCTGCTGTTAAGGGTACTGTACCTTCCATGAACTTCCATGGGCCAAGTTCAAAATGCCAGCACCAGGGAATGCCTGGAGGCTGGAACTGGCTGGTTCCATTAAATAGACCTTTGTCTGCCTCTCCTCCCTGCTGGCTATTGTGGTATAGCTGCGACCTGCAGTTAGAGGATTCAACATGTTACAGCAAACTATTTGTAATTACTAAAAGCATAGTTCTGAAGTTGTAAAAGGATAAAATGCAACTTTCTAATTGCCCTTCTAAAATACAGAAGATATCTAATCATCTTATTTTTCCCTCTTGTTTTCACTATGAGTTATCTGTTAATTAACACATGGAAAACAAGCCCTTTTGCTGTCTTATTTCTGCGTGCTAGGTGAGACGGCAAGCTCTGCAAGAAGAAATCGATAGAGAATCTGGCAAAACTAAGGTTTTCAGTACCAAAGTGGAACCGGTAGGTATAAATTGAGACCTCAATCTGATAAAAACACTGTGTCCAGAGCTACTTCATGAAGATGCACTATACTCCTTTTTATATGCAGCTCACGTACGTGGCTTGGCACATCAGTCTTTCTTCTGATTGTAAATTTAAGGTCATGCTATAGAACAAATTAGTTGAATCTCAAGAGAGTCTGGGAGCAGACCAGTGAACTGCAACAGCAGTTGGAATCGTGCAGACCTCTAAATCCCATCATCAGTCCTGAAAAGCATTGTTTTTCTCAGGCTGCTCTGTAGAATTGGACAAGATGAATTGCTAGAGAAGCATTTTCTGTTTATGGTGAAACAGAAATAATGCCTGGCCATAAATAGAGCTGTCATTAATTTTTCTCTTTATTGTTTTCTGAAGGAGTGTACAGACATTAAGCAGGGGGGAAACACAACTGGAAATGTCAGAAAGGATGACACCTCATAGCGCCTGCATGCGATCCCTGCAGTTAAGCGCATCTCCCCTCCACCGCTTTGAAAGATGCTGCTTTGTTCTGTTCTTCTTTCTTGTACTCAGCCCAGGTGCTGACAGGTTTACAGTAAGCTGTCACTAACCCGTGCAGTAGCCTTTAGCAGAGTAAGGAGATTCAAGAGTAGAGAGAGCTCTACAAATAATCCGGATCCTTAGTTGCCTGCAACACCATTCACTGACAGTATGCCTAGAAAGTAGAAACACACCTCAGACAATTGCCAGAAATAACTCATGTAAATGTGTGTAGTGGGAGGCAAGCTGTGCAAGAGCTGTAGAACTGCAGCCTCCAAACCAGCGCTGAAGTCACTGAGAAAAATGACATCTTTGGCAGGGAATCCCAGTTCTTTGATGCAGAACTGTTCATGGTTAGTGTTGCCCTGAAGTGTAGGAGCTATGAAAACTCATTCATGAGCTTCACAAGGAGTAAGCTTGAAATGCCGAGACAGAAGTACAGCATAGAGAAAGCAGTTCCCTTAAAAAAATAACAGAGATAGGAAGAGGGAGCTGAAAAGCTGCAGTTATTTCTACTCATTGCTGGTATCTCTCCCATTCCAAAGGGAGGACAAATGGGTATGGATGTGTGTACTTAGTCTTTGAGTAAGGTAAAAATAACTAAATTATTACAGAAGACTTTCTTTTAATAGCAAGTATGTTAGCCTGTGCTATTGAAGGATACACTAACACTGCATTTAAGAAAACCTGCTCCAGCTTGCCTCCAGTATTGGGGAAGAGCCTGTGTCAAGGTGGCCTCCAGGGGGGAAGGACTGGTGCCTGCAAACTACAACTGTTCAGTTGAGAGGATTTCAGGCTCATGGGAACATAACACTAAGTTCACCTTTTTTCCCTTTGATGTAGTCAGTCCAGTCTAATTAATGATCAAACATTCTTCCAGTAACATGATCCCCAATTTTAAAGAAAAATAGAGGAGCAGCAGTCTTGCCCAAAAGAGTCAGAAAGGACTGCCCATCTCCTAGCCTAGGGGTTCAAGCTAATGAAGCTTGTTATTAGGTAAGCCAAAAGTTCATAAAGTTCAAAAGTTCATAAGCCAAAACTTCCCAAATCATGATATAGTCTGGATTATCCACAGAAATGATTGAATTATTATTTCACTAGAGATATTACCTGTATTCTCAGAGAGAAACAAATATATGCAGCTAAAAGAAAAATCCTGAAGAAGCCAGAGAATCCAGTGAAGAATAGAGATAATGAATGGCAAACTGGGAGGGATCAGGAGAGTTAGGAGTATTAATCCTGTTGGTTAAGGACATGTCCTCAGTTTTGCAGCCTTGTAATGTAATTGGTAATTAGGGGGAAAAGATAATTGTTACTTGAAGTACATGAACCACATGGAATGCTGTCTCCAAAACTAACACTGCTGAAGACAAGAACTGCCTACCTAGACAACAGGAAAATGAAACGATAGCTCTAAGTGAAGGGTAAGAGAGACAGATGATTCATAAGTCTGAATAGTGTTTTGGAATAAGAGAAATGATTGGGCAAGATCTTGCTTTCTGAGCTAAATATTATTAGAGTTCTAGAGAGGGAGGGGACATTCTGAAACTGCATTGAACACTGTGGGCTAACTGCACTGAAATGCTGATGCACTCGTGCGGGGTTGTGTCTTCCCCTCATCACATATCTAAGTACTGTAGGTGGAATCACTCTTTCCTAGCTTTGCGAGTCCTGTGTAGGGTTTGCAAGCTGGTTCTCTTCTCAGGCTACACATCCAGCCATTGTGCTTCTTCACCGTGGTAGTTTTTAATTTTAGTGTTAATTTTGTTTTTTTTCCACAGGATACAACGTTTGGCCAGTGGAGTACAGCTGCTTTTCAAAGTCCCGACCGAGGAATGAAGTTTCTTAGACTGATGGGGGGGTTTAAAAAGGGCTCTGTGCCTACCCAAGGTCTCGCAGCGACTGCAAACAAACCAAACATGGCTCTGAACAGGGAAGGGGAGGAGAAGTTGCAGCAGGCCCTGAAAATGGAATTTGATAAAGCAATGGACTTGAAGCAACACAGAAGAATTGGTCTTGGATTCCAACCTGCTGCCAACAAAAAAGTGTACATAAACAAATACACATCTAGATCTATAAAATTTGAAGATTAAGCTCTTAATATAAAATTAAAATTCATCATGCAAAACGTTTGCTTTTCCTTTTTACTTGAAATAAAGTACAAAATGTTTTAAAAATATGATTTATGAAGTAATTGTTATGCAAGTTTCTAACTGGATACTACAGTGTCTGTGGAGTTGGATCTTCAGCTGAGCAGTAAGTTTTTGAAACCTTTATGCTGCTTTTTTACAAGTTGAGTGACAGTCTTCAAAAAGATCCAGGGCAAAGCTGCAACAACCTGGAGCTTAGTAATTGTTTTTTTTAAATGATGTTCTTTAATAATTAGCTACACAGATGATTCAAAGGGGACTTAGCATTCATTCTTCACAATTTTGCAATCAGCAAGTGGTGCAAAGTGAAGCACTGCGACCGATATGCCTACATATTGGAGGATTTTTAATTTGAGAGTGGATTCTTAATTTAGCATCTTTATTACAATAAAATACCACTAAGCAAAGGAACAATAAATAAATGCCCTCAGCATGAAGGACTTTTATGAAATGTATTATGTAGCGCAACAGTAGATGTAACTGAATTCCAAAATGATCAAGTGAAATGGTTGTATGCACAAATAATTCCCCGAACAGAGGGACTGCGCATTGACTTTTTATTCAGCGATACAGTGCACTGTGAATATGTTTCTATTTTCCTTCAAAGTAGCATTTAAGGATTCTCTCCATTTTACAATATGCCACTGAACTAAAGTGAAAACATAAGCATGTCTGTGAAAATGTACTGTAGAAATTAGAACAGCAAGGCCTCCGCCATTTCTCTCTTTTACTGGAAGTGACCATACAAGTATTGGCAGCAGCCCAAGTAGAAGGATGACTTACTAGGATTGTTATACTGATTTCTGTGCAGGAGAGAAGACAATAAGTGAAATGAAGTCTGGAGACAGTGCATTTACCWGTGCATGGTATCTTCTTTGCTGCTAAAGTGGCGTAAAGTTAGGTTTGCAGCTTTTGCCACCACAGAAGTCCAAAATGCCTTTAACTGAATCTAAACTAGCATTGAAATAAAAATGGAATGGCAGAACTGGAAACAAATTTAGGTCAAATTCAGGTTATTGCACACTCAGAACAATTATAAATGTCCAAGTAAATTTCTCGCTGTAAGTAAAATGAAAATATACTGAGCTCCAGTCAAAAAACTAGAAGAGTCAGTGATTAAGGGCCTTGGCTACATGCCCTCTGGACAGATACCTCCTTGGAAAAGAAGCGTTCATCAGGTTCTGGACTGCAGGGGAAGTCGAAGGGCCAAGTCTGTGAAGTGACTCATTTCAGGCTGCTTGCTTTGGCTCTTGATATATTCTAGTGTTTTTACCTGTGTATGAAATGAAGATAGTTGGAGGGTTTTAGTCTTATTTCACAATCCCATCATTTATGCGGTATATAAAGGTGTGAGCAACTTGTAAAGGAATCAAGTTTGTTTAAATGAAGCAAGCAGATTTCCCAAATGGAAGAGTGGTAGGAAAGATCTTAAGATTTCTCTGCATCATGCGATTTCCTTACCATGGTCTTGGTGTCAGCAAAGCCATGTTTCTGAGCAAGATTCCAGAGATTGACTGAAAGCTGGTTTAGTTTGTTGTTTCGTAGATCTCCATGAGCTACAATAGTATTGAAGAAATAGAGCGCTAGCTGGCTCTGTCGCTTCAAAGTCTGTAATAAAAAAGAAATACTCATGTTATCATGCAGTCAGCCTAAATACCTGGCAGAACCTAAGAGGGAACTCAGGAAGGAGCCCGAGGCAGAGAGGTTTTCAGTAATAAACATCTATCAGTAATTGTAGCTACAAGGGTACGAGCACAGGAAGAGGTATTCGTGAATCTACTTCTGAACTAACTCAAGTTGCCGCAAGTCAAAATAATCCTTGACTCTGTATCTCCTATCACTTCAGCAGAATGTACTACTATGCAGTTTATAGAACAGACAATATAAAAYAGCCACCCTCAACAATGACTCATTGTTGTCTAGAAATCGCTCTCCCACCAAGCACCTTGCACTCACCTCAGATCAGCATGGCTTTCCATTTCTAATTACCATGAGCATTAGTCTAGATGAATCCCAGTCTAGCAGTCATACAAATTAATTATTCCTATTTTTATTTCCAGTGACAGGTTCTCGTCGCTATTCTTTCACTAAGACCCGAGTGACACCAACGTACGTGCACCACGTTTGCGGTTACCCAGTGATACCCAGAATCACTGATGTTGGGAGGCCCCGCACTCGGTGGGCACCTCCGCGAGCACTGCGGCCGCCACGCTGCCTCCCTGCGGCTCTTCTGGGGTTCACCACCCCTGCTCAACTCCAGCAGTGCCACCACTCAGCCCGGATGCAAGTGGGAACCAGAGCAATCCAGACACTACCCCAGATCCATGGAGGCGGTAGTTCTACTGCCTTTCTGGCCRTTCCTATTAAACAAGCTTAAAAAGGCAAGAGGGACAAGTCATTATCAGATGCACCTGAGACACACTGTTACAGTGGCTAGGTGCAGCCGTGCTTTGTTTTACTCAGGAAACATTGCTGCCGAGAGCAGAGCTCCATCGTTAGAGCTGCAGAGTGGCAGCTCCCCTCCCTCACTGAGGGATTTAGCACCGCAGCCCTTTCAACTCAACGCTTGCTGCAGCCAACACGCAGCACTCGGGGAGGCAGCTCAGGAGAGCGGGAAGGCGGCAGGGGAGGAGGTGCAGCGAGCACCGCGCTCCTCCAACACGCACAGACACAGTCCAAGCCTCTGCCCTTTCCCTACGGGATGGGAAGTAAATCAGTTCCGCTTTCCAGTGCCAGYAGAGGAGAGGTCAGATGCTATTAATCAAAGAAATGGCACAAACCAGACCGTCAGTCTCCAGATAAATATGCACCAAGAGAAAGAGCTGTCATGAAGAAGCTGGCGAGCCAGAGAAGAGGACGCATCACATGCTGGTTCGTGCACGCGAGCTGTGACGCTGCTGTGCACGCACCCAATGTGGTGCCCAGGGGTGCTTAGGATGCCAAGAAAAGCTCACTAAGTGCTAAACTCATTACACGGGACTTGCAAGGTGAAACGGCTTCCTGCAAGAGTTAGACGTTCTAGCAGTTCTCATCCAGTGGCTCCAAAACCTGTTCACAGGCTGAAACTACAACCATTATTTTCCCCCTTTATCCAGGGGTGAACTGTATTCCCTACCAGATAAAWACAGCCAAGCCCAGCAACAGTAACATGAAGAGCAGAAACGCATGAAGAGCRGAAATGCTTCTCAAAGACAAACAATGGAAAAGGTATCTGTCAGTACTTAGTATTCCTCTTGTAGGACCATCACCCTTAGGGGAAAATATATACAGTGCATGGCCTACTAGCCCCTGTTTTGTCATGCTGTTCACAAGGGGCATAGTCTCCCCTCCTGCCCCATCACCRCGCAACCTGGATTAGCAAAATATCTTTCCTCGCCCCCCCTTCCAAACATCAAATGCCTGAAGTTGTTTGAAGATTTGCCGTAAGAAGTGGGACAGTTATATTACAGAGCAGAATGCAAACCAGCAGTACATGGGAGTCTGAGTATCACTAGCAAGTTTTCCAGGCTTTCCARGCAATATTTATGCAAATACACAATCAATTTTTTAAAATATGGATCCTATTTCAACAGTTCTGAAACATATGTGCTTCAAAAAGGGCCATGCTTCAAAGAGGACCTAGAAACACATTAAAGAAAACTGCAAGACTAGGATGCAATACTAACTCTCAGGGTGCTGGGGAAGGTTCAACAGTCACAGACAGGACCAGGGGCTCTGATCGCAGAATCAGAGAACGGCTGAGGTTGGAAGGGACCTCTGCAGACCACCTAGTCCAGCCTCCTGCTCAAGCAGGGCCACCTAGAGCACAGGACTGTGTCCAGATGGCTCCCCAGGATCTCGGAGGAAGGAGACTTCAGAACCTCTCTGGGCAGCCATCTGTTACACAGTGCAAAGGGGAGAGAGAGCAGCTCAGGTACGCAGCAAATCCCACTATGTCTAAAAATTAACAGAAGGGGCTGGACAGGACTTTGCACACGGATGGACAGCACTTGTTGTGCAACCCAAGCGAGACCGGGTTGGGGGGACGGCGATGCGGGTGCCACCATGGCGCACACGATGTCTTTGCAGGCAGCACGGAGAGCGGGACACTCCAACCRGTTGGCAGCCACGTACACCACGGCACTAACGATTCCCACGCCAAGAAGAATCACCTGCTTTATGGAAAACACGCTGCGAATAACCTTTGGAATAACACTGATGGCATTGAAATACAGTACAAACTAGAGGGTTGTGCATGATATGGGACTATACATTACATACCTTGTGTCCTAACCTCTCCATGAAAGAGCAAAACWTAGTAGCTTCATACAGCATAATACAGGAAAACAGACTGCTGTATTGTGGACTGTGTACTCTCTACTTTTTWAAATTCTGGCCAGTGATCCAAATATTTACTCCTGCCTTTCAGTGAATTCTGCCAGACATCTATGACATAGGGGTACTTAAGACTTCTGCTGGAAGAGCAGACAGAGACAGCGGCACCGTAGACAGGCTGCCGGGGAGGACCCTGCAGCTCGGAGGAGGAGCGGAGGCGACCGGCGCTGACCACAGCTCCGCCTGGGAGCGCGTCGCCGGCCGCGCCGGGCCCAACGCCTGCTCTAAGGCAGGTGCTTGCGGAGCASGGAACGACCGCCATCCTGACGTGGCCCTCAGCACACCCAGCACCAGCAGCAAGCAGCACAGATTTGCATTCCTAAGAAACCTGCAGTGTTAGATCAGTCTTCCACTCACCCAAAGGCAGAAGAATGAACCCCTGACACAAACTCTCAGGATCAGAAACAGCTTGAACTTTATAGAGCCGTCCAGAAGTTAAAATTTCTAGCATCTCACCAACGAAGCATTCTTTAATAACGCTAAAAGATGACACTGTGTTAACCTAAGATGCGTTATTCACTTCCAAACTACAATTCTGAGGAAAGTGTTTTATTATGAGAAAATATATATTTTTTTCCCCTTATTGCTTTTAAAGGAAATGAACCAAATAACCCAGC